CGATCTAAAGTAGACTTGACGACGAATGCAAATCTGTTTTTAGATTCCTTATCGCATCAATAGATCAATCGGTACGTTGGAACTAGAAAACGTTTAAATTGCTATGCTGCACGTGTGTTAGACAGAGAAAGAAAATCACTGCTTCCAATCCCCTTAATAATAAAAATCTATGACTTTTATGACTTTTATCCATAACTTTTGATTCTGTTTCACGTTATTTGATTTTTGAAGACAATTATCGATTTTTATTAAATGAGTGATCGTAAAATTAGGTTTTGTGTAAATAATATATATATATATTTTTTATACAACCAACATATTTAGTAACCATTCAACTGTACTTTATAATTTTAATAAACATTTAAAGTAAATATTTCACATAGATTTTATTATGACCAAGATATTAAAGAAAATATAGCTGTAAAAGTCAAAAACATAAAAATTTCAGATCCCGTTCAAAATCCGTTAAAAGTAGCTCAAAAAAACAGGTGTGTGTATATTATCTTTAAAATATAGATGAGTGGTGAGGATAAAGGGACGGCTGATAAAATGTAATATGATTTGTCTAAATCAATATATATATCCAATATATATATATATCCAATATATATATATATATATATATATATATATATATATACCAATATTTTTTCACTCAAAATATAAACAAGTTTTGAATTTACAAGAGCAAAAATTGCACCGATGACTTACAATTATATTAATCATGTGAAAAAAAAGATATAAATTATTATTTTATGACAATAGTTCATAGCAGTTTATAGTATACGTATTCTGAAAGAAAAAATAAATTAAATATTTATAAAAAATGAACATAAATCATTAAATACCCAATGAAAATAAAATATATTTTTATAATTCTATATGACTAGATAACATTTAATTTTGCATGGTTAAATACTTTGTGTTTTTACTACAGTAGTAGTTATTAACTTCCGCTTGTTAAAAGGATCTGTAGCTCATACCTATGAGACTTTTTATTATTAATTTATTATTCACAAAAAATTTATGAAAATCCCATGCTCTTCATATGAATTTAATTTTACTTTTTTCGGCCAATACATGGTCGATGAAAACTTTGTATCTTGATCCGTAGAGGGTTAGGTTAGTTAGGGTTTGTATGCATGGACACAAAATCATTGCCTTCAATATAATTATGTAAGTTAAATATATTGTGTCAAGTATAAGTATAGTATAGTATATTGTGAATATGTATTACTATGTAAGCTTAAAATTATTCGAAATGTAAATATAAGTATAACTTGTATGAGGTATAATTACATTTGTACCATTACAAATCGTCTCAATACAATTTATTTATTTTTATTCCAACAAAACGTCAAAATACATTACAGTGATTCATACACAACAAATACTGTTTTGTAAGCTAAATGGAATTTATAAGACGAGACTTACACAAGCTTTATGCATATGAATCCTATTAATAATATTATAATGCATGCATCATTTCGTTATCGGTAGTAGTGCGAGTCCATAGGTCATCAATAAACAATAAAAAAAAAATTAATGGATAATACTGTGATTCAATCATTCGTTAAGATAAAATTTTCGGCATTTGTAAAATATATTACAAATACTGTCTACGATTCACATTTACCATTTACAACCATGTTCTCGTCTCGTTGCAGTCATTGTATGACGTATATCGTATGAAAAACATGTTTAAAGACGTAGACAAAGTTAATATAATATATTCGGTTTTAAGAAATTCACAGTAACAAGGGCCTTTTATTTATTTTATTTCATTATAAAATGTAACTTCTCATTCACACTTTACATAAAAGATAATATTATATTATATACGATTTACGGTTTTCCTTTTTTTTATTTAAAACCTAGGTTAAATTCGCCATGCATAAATAATCGTAGAAGAGTACGAATAATAAGGTAAACACCACATAATTTTAATTAATTTTAAGACCCAAGTACATACGTAAACATGACTACGTACGCCACAAATATAATATTTTTATCGTAATCTACACATCGCATCAGATCTTCGAAAACAAGTACATTAAACTTATAATAATGGACAATTCTCGTTTGTAAATTTTATATATTTTATAAACGCCTAACAACTTCAAATGCATAGGTACTATACACGCCAAATGACATATTTTAGATTTTGTGACGGATTTATCATGTAGATTCTAACTCAGTTTTTATTTCACTGAAAAATTAATAATAATTTTATGAACAAACTAAATAGTTAATTTTACATTTTTTGGAATTATACATTTTGATATGGTTTAAATGATAACAAGATCCAACGTAGGAAAACAACTTTGGTGGGGGTAATAGAGGTTGAGAAAATGTAAAATATTAATGAATATCATGCTTTATTACTCATTACATATCATATATATATACATAAACAATGTCTGATATTTTAGGAAGTGTGTTAAATGGCTAAGCCCTACTACGTTCGCGCCCTAATAACGACGTTAGTTTTTCAAATATAAACGACAATATTTGGCTACCATAGTATTGGTGGATGAAAATATCACGATTTAAAAATAAAAATAAAAAAACATAAGTTAAACACATTTTTAAAACTTCGAATTTCCCGAATTCGTACATGCTATTTTCACAAAGTTAAATTTAAATGAAAATAACACTCTTTCAAGTACAGTCCACCT